CCCAAATAAATGATACAAGATATACCCTCACCTGATATTATAAGCAATTTAAATCTTCCCTGAGGTAAAGAATTTTTGTATAATAGTATCAACATACTCTCTTCTCTTTTAGTGATACCAGAACATATGAAGAGTGAGCATGTAGATGTTTAATGATAAGTGACTTCAATACTCCTTCACTATCCATTTATTTAAAATCTGGTTTGATATGTCCTAGAAAATAATTTTGAAATTCAAGTATTAAACAATGTTATATGGTATTCATATTAGTGATTTACATTACCTATAACTTTTTATTTTTTTTGGCATATTATGGGGGTACAAATTTTAAGGTTTACATTACCTATAACTTTTAAATTTTATATAAATAGGATTTGTGAATTTCAAATAGAATAAGATACTTTAAATATCATACTATTAAATTTAAAAATCATTTACTTCAATGGCCTTAAAAAAGAAAATCCTAGTTCCTATGAATCACTAACTATATTACAGTCTTAAAAACACAGATGTACACATTAATAAAATGAATACTATTTCATATAAATGAAATGTATTAGATTAAACTCCCCTAACATAATGCATGCTTTAAAATACCCCTGAAGGGGACAATACATAAATAAATTACATACAGAAACAATTACCACAATCTTACTATTTTTAATTCAATAAACTAAGTGACACATACAGCTTTCAATGTGTTGTTTTACTCACACACTTTCTACATTAGAGCAAAGCAAATATAAATGAGTTCTTGCCAACCATTAGGAAAGATTGACAAAAAATGCAGTGTTAATGACATCTTACAGCTTTTAAAAGCAAGAGAAAGATGCAAGAAAAGCAAAAATTACATAGTAATTGGAAACAACGAATAAATTGTTCTTTCAATCTAAGTCATGTTTACTGAAAAAAATGGAGCTTTTTACATCAACACATTTAAACAGAAATTTGCTTTTGAAATAAAATCTTTGTTTAAAAGGTACAGAAGGTCTTTATGTCCACCCCAAGAGCTAAATATAGTGAATGCTATGTGAACAATTACCTGAAAAAAACCTAAACCTGTTAAAAGAATTAATTTACTGCACACCAGTCAGCACTAATCCTACATGTACAGTAATGTTCGCTTAAGTGATGGGAGAAAGAAAGAATAAAACTGTTTCCTGGATCAAAACCCTTCAATATTCAACAACAAAATGGAATGATGATTTGGTCTATAAATGAATAAAGTAGTGAAATGTTTCCTAAACAAATTCTGATAAAGGAGTCAACCTGTAAAGGAATACATTTACTGTATGCTGGGACAGGAAAAAACCCGTCACTATAATGGCTGTACAAAAACTGTGTCCTGCTGTTGGGTTTATATTCACAGAAGAAAGGTTTTAAAGGTTAAGTTCAGGTCATACAACAAATGAAATTGTAACAAGCAAGCTGACATTGTATAATGTCTTCTTCCACTCAATCAATAGGCTACTGTTAGTCCTATTACCATAGAGATGGCTTCTGCTTTTTGAAGGGTGTCTATTGTTTGACAAAACAGATTTGCCACTTGAACTAGGTTGTTCCCAAAGGATGTGTACCTTGTCAATTATTTGTATTCAAAATAATGAAGTATTTTCATATTCAAATTACATAACAGATAATTTTGTTAGATCTCTTTTCTGAAAGAAAGCAACTTTTCCAAAGTACATACTGTATTACTAAAACCACTCCAATACCCAATTTAGTCATATTAAGATTTCTGATGTAACAGGCATGACAGCAAGTATAAAAATATATCATTAGCACTGTATATTAAAAGAAAAGGGTTACAGGCTAGCATGCTAATCTAAAACTAATTATAATCAATCATCATAATTAATAAAAGCTATTTTAAAATGTAAACAATGCAAAAGAAAATTATTGCCCAAAACTATTTGGATTCTGTCAAAATTTTTTTTAAAGATTTTTATATATGATTTTTACAGCGATTCTCATGTGGAATGGCATCAATAATTAACATGTTGAAAAACATGGCAAAGTTTTAGAAAATGAATCACTTTACTTGCAAAAAGAGCTATTTATATCTACGTAACATTTAAATATATGTATGTTACATAAATGATCTAAAATACAAATTACCTGTCAAAATAAATATAAATATTAGTTTTCTTTAAATGTTCTTGTCTTAAAATATCTTATGAAAATTAATAACTCACACAGTTATTTGAATAACTCATTCAAAACAGAATAGGTAAGTTCCTGTTCAACCCACTTATTTAAAAATAAAAAAAGATCAGTTTTTCTCTCAATGGAAATACTGACATATTCTTAATTATAAAAAACCCAAAAGGAACAATTCTAATAAAAATTATTCTAACCATTTAGAAAAAGAAAGTATTCATAATACTAATAAATCTAAGCAGAAATATTATAGATCTCATATTTAAAGATTTGGCTATCACTGTAAATCTGCAAGACTGAAATAGAAATAAATTTAATAAAATTGATAAAAAATTTACTAAATGATCAAGGTGTAACATTTGAATCTGAAAGCTTTTTACAAATAGATTTAAAAATAAACTTTAGAGTTATAATGATGTTAACTTTTATCTTTCTATATATAATTAAAAGAGAACATAGAATTTAGCTGAAGGGCAATATTATGAGTTTAACACAAATAAAAAATATTAATCTCCAAAATGACATGAAATTATGTCTACTCAAATTATACTATATTTACATACAAAAGTCATTTGTTTTTAATAAGAAAACCTACATTAGTTTTTGGAAGAAGTGTTTTAATTTAGTTTTTCCCTTTGCAGGAAGTATAATTTGTATTTTTCACTATAATCCTTTTAGACATAGGATAGACTGAGTTAAGAAAGAAGGAGACAGAAACATCAAGACAAATGAGTTTACCAATATTCTAAACTAACGACCAATTTATTTAAAAGGAGGCTAGACTTGGAAACTAAGAAAGCCTTCTATTAATGAATTAAGTGGGATCTAATTTGGCTACCTTCCCTCTAGCTGTAATAGAACAGAGTGAAACCTTATTAAAACCACATCCCAAACTGATTTGCTTAGTGAATAGCCTCCTTTCAAAAAGTATACAACATGTTCATATTTAGAATACAGTATAATTAGAAATTAGCCCTGAACCTTACTTATAGGCAGCTGCCCATCAGCTATACAGTGAGTAATTAAATGATATTTACCATTTACCAAAAGATGAACCTCATATTGTTGAATTAAACTGGCCCATCTGCATCTTCATAAAATGACAAACCTCATTAGTTCTGCCTAACCAGAGAATCCTGTTAATGAATGGGTGACACCTTCACTCCACTGTATGAAGCAGAACCAACTGTGTAATGGTTTGAGGGGTCAAATGCATATGAAATTACTGTAAGTTAAGAAAGCGAAATCACATGAGTTAGGGAAATCAAGCAACAAAAGATTTTTTTTAATGTATGTTCCTGGGCCATAAGAAATCTACATTTTCAATTGCTCAAAATTAACTAATCAACTACTTTACCTGAAAACAGTGAAAAAAAGTAACGATGCAGCTACTGCTCCAAATAAGCCACAGAGAAGATTGACGCGGTAGGCAACTGAACCAAAAGGAAACAGTTTAATTGCCAGTTTAGCCACCAGTGTGAACAAAGGATAGCCAGGAGGATGGGCAACCTACGAAAAAATTAGCAACAGTTACGGAGGTTTTCATCTAGGAAAGGAAGAGTCACACTGGCTTTAACTGAAAAGTAGCCCTTTTCTCAGGCAAGTGTAAAGATTATGTGCCAATGACTAAATGTTTGAATAGTGGTTTTCTATTGTAATCCTCTTGTGCCAATACAAATAAATATTTTCTTTAGTGGATTTGGCAGCGTCTATCACATGGTGTGTCACCTAGAGAAAGGGTGACATATTTCATTGTCAGTTCTTAAGCAGTTTGTTCTCTGAGTTCACAGTACATTAGGGTCATTTAAAAGGCTATTGAAAAAAAGCAGGTTCTGAAATATCGTATTGGTTAGAAAGTTGAAAGACCACACTGCTATCGGATTACCACCATGCTGACAGTCGTAAGGTCTTGCCTAAAGGGATCATGCACCATAATAAAGTTTATTAAATAATAAACTTATTAAAACTGTTAACCCGATTTATTTTATTCTCCACAGCTTATACAAAATTTGGGGTGATAATAAGGCAGCTACTGTATATATAGTAAAGGCTTTGCTTTATAATTTAGTTTAATTGGATTTAAAACTTAAAGTAAATTGTCACGTACTGTACTTATAAGTTACTAAAAACTGGGGTTTGAAAATAAATTAATCTACTTTACTCCATGCTTAATTAAACTTTCTTAATTCCTAAAACTGTTAATGAGAGCATTGATTAAACAATAAAACTAATACTTACTCCAAGCTCATGTGCGGCTGTGATCAGTTCCCCTGTGAAAAAATAATGTAAAACCAATAATTACTATTAGAGAATGACACTCCTCCAAAGTTTTCAAAATCCGAATGCTTGCATTGGGGTTTTGCATTAATTTGACTGGATAAAACTGTAAATCTGTAGAGATTTAACAGCATGAAATAGTCTAAGAATATTTCCTCCCCTAGGTCTTATTGAACAAACTATTTTTGATAGTTTTTAATAACTGGTCAGTGGAAATATAGGTGAATTCTGGTTTCTAAAAAACGCTTCTTTTCCCTCCTGAAAGTTGTATTCACTTGCAAATATACGAATACTGTTAGAGCATTTGTGTAATACGTATTATCATCCCTCAAATATTTAGCACCAGTATCCAAAGAAGCAACCTTGTATTATATGAAACATGCAGACATCTGAGGTTTGGACATTCCATAAAATGTGCCATACTACCCTAACACTGGCATTTGGATACCTTTCTGTAAATTATGTTGGATAACTTCAAACAACTTCCAAGTGTTTATTAATTCCAGGTTAATTTGGTAAACTCTACCGTGATACATTTTTTCAAACCATTAAATCACCATATTCTTTACACAGTCCTTTATAGTTCTTCTCCATTAGTGATTATTTCTAAAATTAAGGTGCAGTAATTTAATGACTATTTGTTAATATTTTAAATACCCAGAGCACAGGGACTATTTCTGACTCATTCCAGTACACTGTAGCATAGTACAATGTAAGAAATCAATCAATATTGATCAATGGTTTGTGAAAGTTACAATTACCTATCAGAAAATGAGCTAGTGTCCATTTTCTATCCTTTAATAGATAGATCTGCTTTTAATTTCTACCATCCCAGCCACAATGTAGACCTTTACCTACTCTGGCCTGGACTACAGCAACAGACTTGACCAATTTTCTACTTCAACTCATTGTCATACTGAAATCACTTATTACTGCCACTTAACCTTTTACCCCAAACACACACACACACACACACACACACACACACACACACACACACACACACGAATCCCTAGTCTAAAATTACTCAATGGCTGCTCTGTACTGAATGAAGTTCAGACTCCCGGCATGACATTCTAGCCCTCTATGGTTTCAAGGTCCCTTTACCAGGCTTATATCCATGAACTCTGAGCTCCCTCCAGTCAAATCTGATTACCCACTGTTCCTCTGGCATGGTCCTCTCTCGCACCTCTTCTCACTCATTTTCTCACCCTAGAATATTTCTCCGGCCTTCTTTCCTAAATCCTTTAAGGCCTAGTTCAACTGCCATTTTCTCAAGTGAGCCTTTCCCAACATACCTCCCACACCCAGCCGCCCCCACCCCCATCAGAATTAATGACTTCTTCCTCCTCCGCAGAACCTGCTTGATCTATTTAGCACTTTGGATCCCCTTATACCATGGTCAGTTTTCACTTCTCTCTCACTAAGTTTAAAAACATTATCCTATCCATTTCAGGATCCTGCCAACATACCACCACCTCTCCTTTGTGGCCGCACACAAAGAATCTAATTTAAGCCCTGCACAGAGATTGACAAAAAGACACATCACACTGTCATCCTTGCCACTCAGACACTTAGGTGAATGACTACCTGCATCATGGAAGCCCCATAACAGCTCCCAAAGGTGCTGCTCACTTAAGCCACTTCTCAATTACTTAAGGACATCCTTAAATTTGTTAGAGATATTCAAGAGCACCTTAGAAACCAAAGACACTTTTTATATTTTACTTTTTAAAAAAAAATTGTTTATGGTTTAAAAATGCTTCAAACTATTCCCTTTGTAACTGCTATCAAGAATATGATTTTAATATTAGTAGTTTTACTCCACAATGGGTTAGCTCTTACATGTTCAGTCCCAAATTATTTTAATCAGTTTTCTGTTCTTGTATCTTTGTGTGATGAAGCACACCCTAAGTTCAAAATTTCAAAGTCACTATTAATTCTCCTCCATTTAAAAATGTATTCAGAATTATATTTTAGAAAAACAGACTATTTTCTCTAACTTCTTTTTAACATTAAAAAGTCAATATGCTGTTATTTGCTGGAGTTTTGCTGCTATAAAGATAAATCTGGAATGTGACAAACTTCCATCAACTCTTATCAAATGTTAATTAAAATCTAAAGAGAAAAGATGCCACTATTCAAAGCCTATAAATGTATCCTTGATAAAGAGCTAAAGGAAAATACTTTTTACACATTAACTGCCATGTGAGCTGTATTTAAGTCACGCTAGTTTTGAGTCTGGGCCCTCCTGAAGCACAGGAAGACTCAATTCTCCAAAACAAATTTGATAAGTATGTCGTGAGTCACACACAACTCAAGTGGCATGCGGTGTAAAAATGATTCTAGTGCCACACGTGAGGTACATATAACTCATGCACAGAAAACAATAAATTTTCCATTAAAAGGATTGTTTTGATTTCAGTTTTTATTCTATTTTTGTAATAAAACACCATGGCCACAGGGAAAAATTTTTTTTCTAGTGTGGCAATGTGTTAAATTGAGTGTGATAAAGAGAAAAGAGGAAGTGAATGGTTTAAAACACACAAAAACCACATCACTCAGAGCCTCTTGAGTCTTGGCTTTCTCCCAACCCTTTACACTAGGGTTTCCCCAAAGCTAGGTCCTATGACTACCTGCACCAGTGTAACTTGGGTGCTTTCTATAAATGAAGATTCTTTGCCCATACCCCAAAGCTCCCTAACTGGGGCCCAAGTTCTCTGGGCAATTCTGAAGTACATTCCAGCTTGAGAACCACAGCTTTGTTGTGTGGAACACAAATAGGTGGTAAGCTCAGAGTAGTCAGCAGATGCTTAACCTTTACAAAATCCAGTTCCCTTTATATTATACTTTTTAATATAAATTATACTATTATCTTGTCACATGTTGAGCCTGTTAAAAGCAACTTTAAAATATATAAACTCATATATAAGCTAATTTAGTGATGCCCAGATTCTCACTCCCTCCCCTAAAGTACCACGAACACTCCTGCCATAAATGAACAGTGTATCAAGTGGTCCAACAAATAATTCTGTTGAGGCTACACAATGTGATGGATTTATGGAGTCTAATTTAAGACTTATCAGGAAGAATACATGCTTTATATTGGTTTTGAGATGTGTTCTGTTTATTGATAGACAATTCATAAACAAACACTCAAGTATAATAGTACATTCAACATATAAACAAAATTATCACAAATGTAATTAAGCAAATTTCCATACTGGCATATATTTGGAAAACAGTTTATTTATCATTTTCAAAAATGAACATAAAAATATTAGAAGCAACCACTATTTAGAACTAAACAAATTAGAACACCTAAAGTTTGATAACTCAAGGTGAATATATAACTTTATTCTTTTGGGAAAAAATAAAATACAGTATTAATAAAGATAAACCAACAATCATAGATTTCAAATAGACCTTAAATATCACTATGTATATGATGGTGGATTTTAAAAAGAATTGCATGAAATTCTTTGACAAAGAGTAGAGGTTAAGAGAGCAAGTCCTAAAGTCAATCTACTTGAGTTCTTTCCCTGATTTCTTTACTTACTAGCTGTGGACACAGCCTAGCCTTAGTTTTCTCATCTATACAAGGAAAATAATAATTGTACCTACTTTATAGGGTAGCTGAGAGAGTTAAAACAACAATCCACATATAGCACTTGGAACAGTGCCTGGCACATAGTTGAGTATTCAACAAATGCTAGTTAGTATTGTTCATCCCACCCCCATACTTCAAACAACTATAAGTATTGTCAATCTTTTTTTTTAACAGGCAATAGAACTACCTAATATCTGAATAGTGTGCTCCAATGTCAACACTCTCACAAATATAAAGTTATTTCTACTATTAAATATAAATCTTGGAAACACAGTACAGTAACTCTATTCCCTACTACACTAATGAAACACTATCCCTATCTGTTCAATAGGACCTCAAAGAAGAAAGGATCATCAAGGAACATCAAGGATCCTAAATGTGGTGGGCAGCCTTAAAGATGACCCCCAATAACCACCCCCCCTTGTATTCTCACTTATATAATCCTCTCCCTCCTGGAACGTGGTCTGACTTGACCAATTTCGTGAATGAAATAGGGCAGTGAATAGAGTATATCACTTCCAATATTAGGTTACAAAATGACATAGGTGCCTTATCTCTTTCCCTTGACAGAAGTCAGCTATCTTATGCAGAGACTCCTATAGCAATGAATTACCCTGTTTAGAAGCAGATTCTCCTCAAATTGAGCCTTAAGAGGACTATACCCCCAGCCAGCATCATGACAGCAACCTTGTTCGGAGTAAGAGTATGTAGCTACACTGCACCCAGATTCCTGATTTACAGAAACTGAGATGATAAACATTTGCTGTTTAAACTGCTAAATTCGGGGGCAACTTGTTATGCAACAAAAGATAACGAGTAGAGGCCAGGTGCAGTGGCCCTTGCCTATAATCTCAGCACTTTGGGAGGTTGAGGTGGGAGAATAGCTAAAGCTAAGGAATTCCAGACCAACCTGGGGCAACATAGTGAGATGTTGTCTCTACAAAAAAATTTTAAAAATTAGCCAAGCATGGTGGCATCTCTGTAGTCCTGACTACTTGGTAGGCTAAGGCAGGAGGATTCCTTGAGCCTAGGAATTCAAGGTTACAGTGAGGTATGATCCAGCCACTGCACTCCAGCTCTGGGCAACAGAGCAAGACTCTGTCTCTAAAAAAATAAAGATATATATATATATATGTGTGTGTGTGTATACACTAACCAGAAGATTCACCAGTCCATAGATTCACCATCTGAAGTTGCAGCACCATTCTGACAAAATTACTGGCCATTAGAAGGCAATCTTGGATGGTCACTTTATCTGGCAGCAAAACAAAACCCAACCCTGGATCGATCCTGTTTCTTGTCTCAAATATAAAACAATCATATTTAAATGGCCAATGAATCATGCTTTTATCTTTAATAGAAGCAGCACGCTTTAAGCTGCATCTGGCGTGCACTTTTTAAAGAGTTCTCCTCCAACTATTCTGCATGGCTGGTTCCCTCTAAACATGTAGGTTTCAACGAAAATATCACCTTCCCGGAGGCCTTTCCTGACTAGCCACTCTGAGGGATCCACTTCCTAACCCCACTCTATTTCAGTCTCCAAAATTTACAACTAGCAGGTGGTTTATTCAGGAACTTGTATATCATCTCTAATTGCACTAGAACATCCTCAGTGGTGTTTGTTAGCCACTACTGTTATTCTTTTTGCCCGAAACGCAGTAAGGACTAAGTAACATATGTAGACTAAAAAAGAATGGAAAGTACTCAGGACCACGAAAAAAGATCTGGGGACGCGGAGAGGTAGTTAAGCCCCACCAGGCGAAACCAACAATAAACCCGCCTGAGAACTAAAGAAACCGGAGTTGGTTCTGGAACACAGAACCCTGCGCTGGGCACAGGCGGGTGGATGGAGGGCCCGAGCAGACCAGTCCTGATGCCAAGAGCGGGGGCACACGCGGCCCCTCCCCGCTTCAGGACCAGGGCAGAGGAGCAGGAGGCGCAACCCTGATAGTACTTTACCCGAGTCTCCCCCGGGCACCGAGGGGGGCAGCGTGAGCGTGAACACGGCGGCCACAGCGGCGAACACGGCGACGCCGCCGCGGAGGCCCCCGGAGCGCCGCGGCCCCACTCGGGCTGCCCTCCCCCGGGCCTGGCCCCTGCCGTCGCCATGGGGACTCATGGGCCCGTGGCGACCGAGGGAGGGGGGCGCGGCCGGCCCAAGGACTCGGTGCGGCGCGGAGCTCCACAGCCGGCACGCCAGCGTAGCCCGCGCGGTGGCTTCCGGGTCGAGCCTCCGCCGGCCGGACCGCACCTTTCCCCGCCTGAGCGGGGGAGGAGAAAGTGCCGGGTGTCGCGAGAGCCAGGCCCTGGGAGCTTACGCCAGGCGTTGGCGTTTACATACTTACAGTATGTTTTAAAGTAACTAATCATGGTGGCAGCGTTCCTTTATAGAAGCAAGTCTGGTCACAGGCCTACAGTCTCTATGGCTATTTCCCCCCTTTCAAACTGACTTGGTTGCTTCTGACAGAGGAGGCAGGAGCACCGACGAAAACCGCGAGTGAGGAAGGGCTGCTTGTGCCACCTGTGGTGTGGGGTGGAACTGCACAAATGGACCAAGATCTGCCAGGAGCCCAGCCTGTGCTAAAACAAGGGGTAGTGTATTTACAGTATGGGCGAAGTAAGCCAATAAGTACATTAATCTCATGTGTTTATTACGATTTACTGCATTACTATGATTGTTATAAATCTCTGTGCTAATTATTAAATCACTAAGTCATTTTTATTAGAGAGATTAAAATATGCTAGTTTGACTATTATTTTTTTTCTTATAGCATGATGAAAAATCTGTAGATGAGTTGGGAAACTTGAGTTCCTGCATTAATACAAGTAACTCATACCGTGATAAAGGCATCTCCTATTTCAATGAAGAGTATTATTTTTGGAGCTTTGACCACAAAGTGGGAAACGAAACAGAATCACCAACTTTATAATTAGCTGCAATAAAAACCTTAGCAGGGCTGTTAGTAAGTTTTTTAGGCTTACATTTTACACTATTATAGCAATTATCCTGGAGTGATACAGGGAGGAGGGTTAACTCTGTAGAATGTATCTGAAAACACACATTGAAGATCAGTGACAATCTCAAATGTGTTGCATGCAATCTGACAGGAACACAGTGTCTCAACTGTAGGGCGATGTACATCTACACTGACTGCAGTCATTGTGCCAGCACATCTTAGTCTTTTCCAGGTACTTACATAATGCTTTCTCAGCTACACTGTGAGTTCCCAGAGGCCAGGGGCTATGTGGTAGGCTGCTTCTAAAATGGCTCCCAGCAATCCCAGCCTCCTGATATATACTCCCTGAATAATCCTCTCCCCTTGGGGTTGGACTGGACCTAAATGACTGGCTTCTGTCAGTAGAATAAGGCAGAAGTGATAGATGTCACTTTTGAGATTAGGTTATGAATGACTTTCATCTTGCTTGCACTCCCTCTTACTCTCTTACTTGTTCTCACCCATGAAGCCACCTACCATGTTGTGAACTGCCCTGTGTGAAAGGCCACATGAAAGGAACTGAGGACCACCTCCAGCCAACAGCCAGCAAGAAACTGAGACCCTCAGTCCAACAACCTGAGAGGAACTGAATCCTGAAACGCGATGGGAGGGAGCTAAGAAGTGGCTCCTTCCCCCATTTTAGCTTTGAGACAACTACAACTCCTGTCTACCCCTTGATTGTAGCCTGTGAAAGACCTTGAAACAGAGCACCCAACTAAACCTCATCCAGACTCTTGTCCTACAGAAATTGTGAGATAATGAATGTCATTGTTTAGAGCCATAAATGCAATAAATGTGGGGTAATTTGTTACTTTGCAATAAATAAGATAGGTTGTTTTCTGTGTCTTTGCTGCAAGAGCATACCATTGAGTAACACTGACTGAGTCAAGCATATATTTCTTTCCTTTTTTATCCATTTCATCTTTTGCTCATGAGTTTTATAAAAAGATGAATTTTTATTTCAAACGGGAATAATTCTTTGTCCATGTTTGGGAGGTAGAGATCAGTGCTGGAAGTACAAATTTGGGAGTTGTTTATGTCAGAATGACAGGACTGACTACGTTGACAAAGGCATAGAGTTTGAGAACGGGTTGAGATCTAACGACAGTCCACATCTTCATTTAGGGAATGGCTGGAGAAAAGGAGAGCGGTAGAGAACAGTGGGAGAGAATAAAGTGTTAGAAGAAGCCAAGAGAGAAATAATGTCAATGAAGTATGTGTGGCTAGGATGTTATAGAGACATAAAGGATGATGAATGAGGGGTACATCTAGATTTTATGGGGCTTAAATTTGTACAATTTGGAGAATTGTCTTTAAGCAAACTACTACAAAACTGCAGATACAGAATTAGGTACAAGGCATTGGAAGAAGCTGGTGCTAGTGAGGAGCTATGAAATCTAAGCTTTATTATAATAGCTTCACAGTTATTCTCCTTTGAAGATGAAAAACTGCCAGTTCTCTGTTTGTGTCTGACTCTACCTCTCAGTAAGTATCTGACAATTCCCTTCTCTCCTGGAGCATTATTTTGTCTGGGCATCAAAGATAGTATGCTCCTTTGGTTTTCCTTTGACCTCTGGCCTCTCCGCCCCAGCTCTGCTTTTTGTCAGACCTCCAGATGTTGAAGTGTTCCAGGGCTGTTCTAGACTTCTCTCTCTTTCTGCCTTCTTTCCCAAGATGATCTTATTGAAGATTTAAATATTAGCTACTGGGGGATATATCTCAAAGCTATACCTCCTCAACTTCTCCTTTAAGCTGCAGATTTTTTTTAACCCAATTGCCTCCTGACTTATTTATTTTAATGTCCAAACAGCTTTTCAAACCTGGCAGACTTTGTCTTATTTCCATTGTATCTACAGTGGTGCCTGGCACAAAGTGGATGCTTAACAAATATTTATGTAATAAATGAATTAAGGAACAATCAGAGACCATTGGTGCATTGATTAAGGATTGCATTTAGCTGATAGTAGCGGAGACCCTGCTACAGTGGCTTAAACATTCAAGTGTTGTGTAAAGAAGTCAGAAGTCTGGAGGAAATCACTCTAACACTGGTTTGGCGACTCTCTGATACCACTAAGGTCAAAGCTGAGGTTTTTATAACTTTTTGCACCACCCTCCTCAGCTTACATCCTCAAAGTCATCTCTTGATCCAACATGGCTGCTAATGCTCCAGACATTACATCTATACTTGGGAAGAAGGAAAAAGGGCAGGAAGGGAAGGGTATGCTCCATCCTTTTAAAAAGAGCATTCTAGAAATGCTATTCCATAATTAGCTATATCGCATTGGCCACAGTGGAGTAACAGGCCACTCCTAGGGGGAAAGGGTGCTGGGAAATGTACCTTTTTAGCTGGGTAACTTGCCCGGATTCTATGACAAAGGAAGAAGTGGACAGTGGATATTGGAAGGCAACTGGCAGGCCCCGTGTAGTTAGAGCTGGTCACCTGTGAGTATTTGAACCTTGAAAGTTAGAGAGGTCAGTTTCAGTAGTAGATACAGAAACCAGGTACCAGTCGGTTAAGAAGTGAGAAAATGGAAGAAATGAAGTAGTATGGAAATTTACAGGGATTGAAATGTCAAATGAGGTTTCTGAGTAGTTTTTTTTGTTTATTTTTTTGGAATCCAAGGGAGTGTTTGGAGAGAGAGAGGGATGTACAGGAGATTGGAGGTGAGGGGACCAAGGAGGACAGAGGAGAAAGGTTGAAGATAGAAAACATTAGAGGTGGAGAGTGAAATCTTTAGGCTATGTCTTATTTAGGCTGACAAATAAGATATACAAGGAGTATTTACTTACTGTTTATGCTGGACATCATTCCACAATGGTTTAGAGATAGCCACTATAATACAAACCACAAAGTAGTAAAATACGTAAATCACTAAGGATTCAGCCAGAGAAACAGAACTGACAGAAGATATATATATATATATGTATATATATATATATATATATAAAATGAGACTTACTGCAAGGCATTGTCTCATGTGATCATGGGGGTTGGTTAGGCAAATCTGAAACACAAAGACCTGGCCATCAGGAAGGGCAGGCTGGAACTCTTGGCCATGAGATAAAGCCATTGTCCACAGGTGGAATTTCTATTTCATCAGGGAACCTTCAGCTCTGCTCTTAGGGCCTTTCAACTAATTGATGATTTAATTAGGCCTAAAATTAGGAAAAATCTTGCTGTTTCAACATCAGCTGATTATGGACTTTTGTTATATCTACAAAGTACTTTCACAGAAACACCATGATTAATGTTTGATTGAAAATTGAGGAATGATGCTAAGCCAAGCTGACACACTCAAAGAACATCACAGAGCCCAGGGAACATGTGACTTAGAAATAGAACATCAGGTTGAAGAAAAGGAAGTACATAGCTCTGTGGTTCTATGGTATCCTAAATTTGGCCCTGGGAGTCTTGAAAGCCAAAAAAGTAAGTGGGAGGTGGAGAACAGGATCATTTGTGTGATCTCTTAGTTCCCCAGGAAAGAAAAGTCTTCTTGGGCCTTATGGTCAGCATCTTGCCTCTATTTAAACCCAAGGGGGTGGCTCCTCATTACTGCTGGGCAGAAGTGGACATTCTGGCTACCCACGAGACCTCCACTGCTACCTCCCTAGCTGAGAGGTATAGGATCCCTCATTACTGTTCCACCTGCAACTTCCACTAGCACCACATGGGGGGAGTAGGGAGGGAGGTGTCCTCCTTTTCTCTAGACAGTAGTGAGAGTCCTGACTCTCCACTAAGCCCCTTCTGACACCATGCTGGCAGGGAGGGTGAGGGGTACCTCATTATTGCTGGGTAGGATGGAAGTCTGGGATTCCCCACATGGTCTCCTCTGATACCATGGAGTAGAGTTTGGGCCTCAGTGAAAGTTCTGGCTCCTTCCATAGTCTTCTTCAACATGATCCTGGGAGGTATGTTGGGGCCCCTGGAAGAAGTCTAGACTCCCCCACTCAGCCTTT